GTTCTAATGCCCCAGGGCACAACATAGAGAGATGTTGGTATTTGAAAAAGACCATTCAGGATTTGATCGATTCTAATCGAATTATAGTTGAAAGTCCGAGTGGACCCAACATCAATCAAAATCCATTGTCGAGGCATCCTGAAACAAACATGCTGGAAATGATGAAGGGTCATGAAGAGTTTGCATCTCCGTATAAGCCAATCTTTAGGGTTGGAACTAGCATTGAGAAATCAGCAAATGTTGTTGATTTAACAAAAATGATGCCTTTAGGGGCGGAAAGTATGTTAGAAAAGTTGAGTCCATCCAACACACCCATCTTAACTGTGAAAGGAGCCCTTGAAGTTGTTTGGGCAAGTCCGAGTAAGACAAAATCGTTTGTTCCAAAAAGGCCAAACAAGCCTATCTTGATCGTGCAAGGGGCCCATATTCCTCCTATAATTATCAGGCCAGTATCCCAGCTCCCAATGACTAACCCCAAAGCTGTTCCCTGGAATTATGAGCCTACTGTCGTGACATACAAGGGAAAAAAATTGATGAAGAAATAGATGAAGTGAGAGGAATAACCCGTTCAGGAAGATGTTATGTCCCGATGGAATTAAGGAAAACTAAAAATGACCAAATACAAATAAAGAGTCCGGTCACTGAAGGAGAGGCAGAGGAATTTCTAAGGAAGATGAAACTATCCGACTACTCCGTGGTGGAACAATTACGAAAAACTCCAGCCCAAATATCTTTGTTGTCTTTGCTAATACATTCTGATGAACATCGTAAGGCTATAATGAAAATTTTGAATGAAGCACATGTTCCTAGTAGAGTTACAGTGAGTCAGTTAGAGAAGATTGCTGGGAGAATATTTGAGGTAAACCGCATCACCTTTTCAGATGATGAACTACCCAAAGAAGGTACAGGACACAACCAAGGCCTACATATCACTGTAAAGTGTGAGCTTTTAGATGTCACTCGAGTTCTAATTGATGGAGGATCTAGAGCAAATATTTGTCCTTTATCAACTCTACAGAAATTGAATGTTAGTGCTGAAAGGGTCCGACCCAACAATGTATGTGTTAGAGCTTTTGATGGGTCAAAAACAGATGTTATTGGTGAGATAGAGCTCGTGCTAACCATAGGGCCTGTGGATTTCGCTGTGAATTTTCAAGTATTGGATATCAACGCGTCCTACAATCTATTGTTGGGGAGGCCATGGGTTCATAGGGCTGGAGCAGTCCCCTCAACGTTGCATCAAATGATTAAGTTTGAACACGACCGACAAGAGGTAATTGTTCATGGTGAGGGGTATTTGTCAATCTACAAAGACTCCTCCTTCCCTTTTATCAAGGCGGATAATGAGAATGAGACACTAGTTTATCAAGCTTCTGAGGTAGTGGTTATTGAGCATGTCCCCGAGGGGAGTGTCATTTCAAAACCAAATATGCCCATCGCGTCTGTAATGGTGGTGAATGAATTGATGAAACATGGGTTTGAGTCGGGTAAAGGCTTAGGAATCTGCTTGCAAGGAAGAGCTTATCCTGTGAGTCTACAAAAGAGCATCGGTACTTTTGGCTTAGGCTACCAACCTGGAGTCGAGGACAAAATGAAGGCAAAGAAGCAGAAGAGAGATGTATGGTCACTTACCAAGCATATACAACCAATCTACAAATCTTTCATCAAAGCCCGCGCAACAGAATCTTATCAATCATGTTTTCCAGAGCCAGTGATGAAAGTTATCAAAGAAATGATCAACTATTTTAAAGATTTATTTGTCGAGGTTGATATGGTGGAACTCGGAGAAGGCACTAGCGACATAGATGTGCAATTCATTGGTCCTGATGTCAGTCTAAACAATTGGGAGGCCACCCCTCTCCCCGTTAAAGACGAGTCTTGGTAGTCTGTCTTGTTTTTTCTTTTGTCGTCCGATTCTTTCAAGGATTGTAATTTGGATTTTATCTTGTCGTTTTATTTCGAACATTCTATTTCCCTTTTCTATAGGATGTAATTACATCTTTATTTCAGTCTAATGTATTTGTTCGTTTTCTTTTATACAGTTCTTTCTATGCCAATTCTAGTGATATGACATGCATGCAGAATTTTTCACTAGATCTTAAATCCAATCTAATCTTCGACCTAATATTGAAATAATAAGTCAAGAAATCGAACATGATGAAGACAGAGTATTTGAAGAAGTAAGGAAGGATTTCAATCATTTTGAAAATAAGTCAAATCCAAACACGAGTGAAACTGAGACGATAAATTTGGGGGATCAGGAAATTATTAAGGAGACTAAGATAAGTGTACATGTTCGACATCAAAAGGACGATATAATCCAGGCCCTGTTTGATTACAAAGATGTTTTTGCGTCATCTTATGATGACATGCCTGGATTAAGCACTGACATGGTTGTTCACAAGTTGCCAATTGATCCTAATTTTCCTCCGATAAAGCAGAAGTTGAGAAAACTCAAAACCGACATGAGTGTAATAATTAAAGAGGATATCACAAAACAACTTGAGGCCAAAGTCATACAAGTCTCTCAATATCCTTCTTGGTTAGCCAATATCGTACCCGTCCCTAAGAAAGACGGCAAACTTCGAATGTGTGTTGATTATCGTGATTTGAATAAGGAAAGTCCAAAAGATGATTTTCCTTTGCCTAACATCCATATTTTATTGGATAATTGTGCTAAACATGAGGTTGCATCTTTTGTGGATTGTTATGCGGGCTACCATCAGATTATTATGGATGATGAAGATGCAGAAAAAACATCTTTTATCACTCTATGGGGTACATATTGTTATCGTGTTATGCATTTTGGATTAAAAAATGCAGGGGCAACTTATATGAGAGCAATGACAACCATGTTTCACGATATGATGCATAGAGAAATCGAAGTTTATGTGGATGATGTTATCATTAAATCTAAAAAACAGTCAGATCATGTGAAAGACTTAAGGAGATTCTTCGAAAGGCTCCGCAGGTATAATCTCAAGCTTAATCCTGCAAAATGTGTATTTGGAGTACCATCGGGGAAGCTTTTGGGGTTTATAGTCAGTCGAAGAGGTATCGAGTTGGATCCTTCAAAAATAAAAGAAATTCAAGAATTGCCACCTCCAAAGAACAAAACTGAGGTTATGAGCCTTCTAAGAAGGTTAAACTACATCAGCAGATTCATTGCTCAACTCACAACAACTTGTGAGCCTATCTTTAAGTTGTTGAAAAATAATGCCACAGTCGAGTGGACCGAAGAATGTCGAGAAGCTTTTGAAAAAATTAAGAGTTACCTATCGAATCCCCTTGTGTTGTTTCCTCCCGAGCCAGGAAGACCTTTGATATTGTATATGTCAGTACTGGATAATTCTTTTGGTTACGTACTGGGTTAGCATGATGACACTGGGAAGAAAGAGCGGGCCATTTATTACCTCAGCAAGAAGTTTACCGTTTACGAAGCAAAGTACACCCTTCTTGAAAGAACGTGTTGTGCCCTAACTTGGGTAGCACAGAAGTTGAAACATTATCTTTCATCTTACGCTACTTATCTCATCTCTCGTATGGATCCGTTGAAATATATTTTTCAAAAGCCCATGCCCACAAGTAGGCTTGCGAAATGGCAAATATTGCTCAAAGAGTTTGACATTATCTATATAACGCGGACCGCAATGAAAGCTCAAGCATTGGCAGAGAACCCTATTGATAAAGAATATGAACCACTTAAAACCTATTTTCCAGATGAAGAGATATCTTGTATCGATGAAGTTATTCACGATAACGATCAAGGTTGGAAGTTATTCTTTGATGGTGCCTCTAACAGGAAAGGAGTTTGAATAGGAGCTGTTCTTATGTCTGAATCAGGGGAATATTACCCTATATCTGCCCAACTTAGATTCTATTGTACTAATAATATGTCTGAGTACGAAGCGTGCATTTTGGGTCTGAGGTTAGCTGTTGACATAGGCATCCAAGAATTGTTAGTGTTAGGAGACTCAGACTTACTAGTTCATCAAATTCAAGGAGAATGGGAAACTCGAGACCCAAAGCTCATACCATATCAACATTGTTTACAAGGTCTTTGTCAACGATTCGTGTTGATAAAGTTTAGACACATTCCCAGAATGCACAATCAGATTGCAGATGCATTGGCCACTTTATCTTCGATGCTCCAACACCCTGATGACGCCCATATCGACCCTTTATACATACAAATTCGTGATCAACATGCCTATTGCAACATGATTGAGGAGGAATTTGATGGTAAGCCTTGGTTTCATGATATCAAAACTTATCTTCAGTGTGGAGAATGTCCGTCAGATGTAACTAGTAATCAAAAAAGGACTATTCGACGACTAGCAAGGGGTTTTTTCTTAAGCAGAGGCATACTGTACAAGAAGACACCCGATTTAGGTCTTCTAAGGTGTGTAAATGCTCAAGAGGCTTCCACAATCATGATTGAAGTACACTCAGGAGTTTGTGGACCTCATATGAATAGATATGTTCTAGCCATGAAGATACTTCGAGCAGGATATTATTGGCTCACCATGGAGTGGGATTCCATACGATTTGTTCGTAAATGTCATGAATGTCAAATACATGGTGATTTAATATATTCTCCCCCTTCTGAGTTGCATGCAATGTCTGCTCCATGGCCTTTCGTGGCATGGGGAATGGATGTGATTGGATCGATAAAACCAAAAGCATCAAATGGTCACAGGTTCATCTTGGTGGCTATTGATTATTTTACAAAGTGGGTGGAAGCAGTAACTTTCAAGTTAGTGACCAAGAAGGTCGTGGTGGATTTCATCCATTTCAACATCATCTGTCGGTTTGGTATTCCAAAGGTTATTATAACTGACAACGCCGCAAATCTCAATAGCCACTTGATGCAAGAGGTATGCCACCGATTTAAGATTGAGCATCGAAATTCGACTCCGTATCGCCCAAAGGCAAACGGGGCTGTAGAAGCTGCTAACAAAAATATAAAAAATATACTTCGTAAGATGGTGCAAAGTTTTCGACAATGGCATGAAAAGTTGTCTTTTGCTTTGTTGGGTTATCGCACTACAGTCCGTACGTCAATGGGCGCTACCCCATATTCACTGGTATACGGGACTGAGGCAGTTATACCTGCAGAGATTGAGATCCCATCTTTACGATCATTGTGGAGGCTGAAATTGACGATGATGAATGGATCAAAACTCGGTTAAAGCAATTAAGTTTGATTGATGAGAAGCGTCTGACATCAGTATGTCATGGACAATTATATCAGAAAAGAATGGCACGGGCATACAACAAAAAGGTGCGTCCCAGACATTTTGAAGAGGGTCAATTAGTGTTGAGACACATTTTGCCACATCATGCTGAAACCAAAGGCAAATTTTCTCCAAATTGGAGAGGACCATTTGTTGTTAAAAGGGTATTATCCAATGGTACTCTTTACTTAGCAGATATAGAAGGCAAAGTGACAGAAACGGTCGTCAATGTTGATGCTGTGAAAAGATATTACATATGATTGAGTTTCGACATTAGAAACCCTTATGTTTGGGCTTGATATTTCAAGGGTTGATTCAATGGGATCTCTTGGTTATGTTGTGTCCTTGACTTTTCAAAAAACAAAACAAAAACAAAAACAAAAACAAAACAAATTGCCTGAACTACGTTTGACCTGATTCTTGTTTCGGCGAGATACGTAGGCAGCCCTAATATTGGGTTCGGTTCAACCAAATACAAATCCAAAAATTTATATTGTAGTATACTGGGGCAAAATTCGTTTGTTTATTCATTCAGTCTCTCATCTCAAAGCTCAAAATCAACCCCATCATCTAAAGTAAAAAAAAAAGCCTTTGCATCAACCCTTGATATGTCGAGAATAAGTTGGTTAAGGGTAGGTAAGAAATCCTGAATCGGCGCCATAAGACAAATGTGAGTAAAAAGAAATAAAAATGAGAGAGTCTTATTGGTGAAAACCCTAAGTGGGCACCGCAAGGCGAAAAGGAATTGAATATAAGAGAGTCTTATTGGTGAAAATTCTGACATGCACCATAAGGCGGACGTGAGCTGGAGCAATTAACATGATGGAGTTTTAGCGGCAAAGACCTTCGTGAATATCACAAAGTGTATAAGGGTTTCAAATTATTTATGGCTTCATTAAGTGTCGGGATTCCATATCAAGATTGAATGATCAATAGTGGATGATGAATAGATTGGATAGACAAGTCTGGAAATCAATTCAAATTGCATGGCATGATCAGTAGACTCGGCTCCCACACTCAGATAAGTTTTTCTTTCTTCTTCTTACTAAAAAAAAAGAGTCTTCATCGAATCTTTTCTTTTATTCTCATATAGTTCACAATTTTCTTATACTTTTTCTTCATCACTTTTTGGTATGTATTTGAGTCGAGTCTTTGTCAAAAAAAAACTATGAAGGAATTTCAAGACTCGCTACCAAGTCTCTAATCGGTACTAGGAAAAGCATCAGGCTACTGAGTTAATCTGTCTTCAAGTGTTGAATTCGAAAATTCTTTGATCCTATGAAGGCTAAACAATGAGTGTTGGGAGATAAAGACATTGGATTTAGGTCCCAAAGTAAGCAAAATCGGATGAAAGTACTATCAATCAATAAGAAGTATTGACCGTTGGAAACAACCAAAGCGTCATAAGTGTTTGAGCCGCCCTTGTCGAAAGATGGAACCACAAACCAACCACCACCTTTTGAAACTCATAAATTTTCTTTGTTGAAGCAGGGACACAAGTTGTTTCAAGATTGAGGATTCGAGGAACCAAGATGTTCAACCTAGTTTGCAGCGAGCAAAATGGAAACCCTATAATAAAGACTTGTGGAATATTATATGAAAGTTGGCTATTATATATCAAAATAGCAATTACTTGAATGTTGGAATATTTATTTTATTTATTATTATTATTATTATTTCTCCTTGAAGGAACTTCCAAATAATGAAGATAACATTCACAATGTTTCGTTGGTATTATTAGTTTGTTGAAAATTTTATTAGCAGGACCCTCCTGGATAATGGGACTAGCAGGACCCTCCTGGATAATGGGACTAGCAGGACCCTCCTAGATAATGGGATTAGCAGGACCCTCCTGAATAATGGATTAGCAGGACCCTCCTGGATAATGGGACTAGCAGGACCCTCCTGGATAATGGGACTAGCAGGACTCTCCTGGATAATGGGACTAGCAGGACCCTCCTGGATAATGGGATTAGCAGGACCCTCCTGAATAATGGGATTAGCAGGACCCTCCTGGATAATGGGAGTAGCAGGACCCCTCTGGATAATGGGAGTAGCAGGACCCCCCTGGATAATGGGACTAGCAGGACCCCCTGGATAATGGGACTAGCAGGACCCTCCTGGATAATGGGACTAGCAGGACCCTCCTGGATAATGGGATTAGCAGGACCCTCCTGGATAATGGGACTAGCAGGACCCTCCTGAATAATGGGATTAGATTACTTTCTCATAGGATTAACACTTCATAATCTAGATTTTAGTTTTATTTTCTCCTAAAATAAACACTTTCTAGTCGGAGTTTATGTTTATATTTATATTTGCTAATAACTCACAAAATTTTTCCAGTGAAAACTGGGGCAAAAATTTTGTTTATTTTTTGTTTGTGGTGGTTTTCAGGTTTCCTCAAGCGAGACATGGATTTGAAATTCAGGAACAAAGTTTCAACTTTTTTTTAGAATAATCAATTCCATGATGGTTAGAATTAGCTCCTTCACTGCGTGTAGCAGTCTGACTTGGTCACATCTTTTACTAGTCAACTTTTGATCAAGAAAACACGAGCTATTCAAGAGCACATTTTAAATTGTCATTTTTGAAGAATGTCAAAAGTTCCGCCTAAGTGGCAAGTTCAGCCTCCATTCCAATTCAAAGCTGTGATATTCACCAAAAATCAAGGTGATATCTTAAAGTCAAGATTCAAGAAAAGCTGCATGGATAGAAGTCTATACATTTGTTTTTCTTTTGAATAATAGTTTTCAATTTTTATGTAAGGATAAGAGCCGCGATCTGGAGCCTCGATGGAACCTCACTTAACTCCAACTCATCACCTCATCTCCTCGAACTACACGTGACCTGATTCCCTTATAACCTAGGATATGTAGGTTGTCCAAACAAGGACACGGTCGCACAAATTTTGATCTTTCAAATAAAAGTTCAGTCAAAACTTGTCACTTTGTCTACTTCTTTGTCTGAAAAACTCTTCGTGTTTCCAGTCAAAGAGGGACAAATTGTAGACACGTAATTTTTTACCGAATTTAAGTTTAACACCAATATTTTGAGCATAAATAATTTTATCAATCTAAATTAAATATATTTTGACTTTTTATTATTTTCATTAAGTTTATTTAAAAGATATAAAAATAAACAACATAAATATAATTTTAATTAGAAAAGTTTTTTTTATTGTTAATATATATATATATATATATATATATATATATATATATATATATATATATATATATATATATATTATCCATTTAGCTTTTATTTATTTATTTACTCAAAACAATTAATAATTATATGGTTATCATTTTTTATATATTTAATATAAAAAAAATAGAAAAAAAAAGTTAAAAAAAAAACCCATTACCCCCACTTTACCCATTACCCTCACTTTACCCATTACCCCCACACGACACACACTACTACTAATATATTATTATTTTTTTCAACCTTAGAAAAAAAGAGAACAAGAGAAAAAAAAGAAAGAAAGAGAATGAGAGAGGAAAAAAAAACAGAAAGAAAGAGAAAGAGGAAAAAATGGTAATACTAATTTTATTTTGTATTAGTTTTATGTC